TGTATGTAATTAAAGTTATGCAGAACTTTTGAAGCATTAACGAGATCTTTAACAAAACTAAACATACAATATAATTTTAAATTGTACTTTTTTATAAAATAATATAAATAATAGCAATAATTAACGTAAAGTCACATTTCTTTAGGTCACAAATTCATTTTGATGACGATAATTCTTCTGATTAACTTGAAATTTTTTTATTCTTCTCCTTCTTTTTTTCAATTAAAGCTTTTTTACTAGCTTGTAACTCTTTTTTATTTTTTTAATTGCTTAGCAATTTTTTCTTCTAATAATTCGTTCTTTGATATAACCGTTCACTAAAAAAATTACAACAAAATAAAATTTAATAATCAAAAAAGATTTTAAGTATTATTTTAATTGTAAATATACATTTTATAATGATTATTTTTATATTTACAAAATATTTAATGACTAAAGTACTTTAAACACTTGACAGATTTAACTTTGAGCTTAAGAAGTTAGTATTATAAATATACGGTGATTAATTGGATTGTGATAAAATCAGAGGGTCTAATAAATGACCGAATGAATTTTTCACTGGGTAAAGAGCTTCTGACGGATCCAATAGTTGACCGGTCTTAAAATAATATTAAAACTTATAATTTAATTTTATTTTTTCAAAAAAGTTGGAATCTGATCTTTAATTAACATAATAAAACTAAAATATTTTATATTATGCCGATAAATATCACGAAATTAATGATGAAATGCACTCACTCTCCAATTGTACGGTAGTTATTTTTGACCGCTTTATGGCTGGTTGCGTTGTAAACAAACTCAGAATATTTTTTTAAAGCTATAATCACTGCGCAATTAATTGCGTAATTTTTTATTATGATGATTAAATGCCATATTTTTTTATTTTAATCCTTTAAGAAAAAAAAACCCTTGTAAAATATTAATTAATTAACTTTTTTATACATCGGTCAACTAATTGGTGCATTTACCCTATAAACTTTTAATAATAAATTAGGACTAAATTATAATGAATCAGAGAAATTTTAATAATTTTCCCATTTCGCATAGAATGCCCCATAAGTATATTCTTATTCGTCCGAAACATTGAATTTTAGTAATTTTAGACAAGGTAAAAAGTTAAAAATTCATCAGAAAGTTCAATAAAATTTTTTAATAATTTTCAGGAACCATGCAATTGTGGAGATATTAGATGCTTATCGAAAGAAAAAAATCCAATAAAAGCGTTGGAATGGACCGTTGAAAATATTTTTGGTCTGATACTTTCGATTAAGATTCATGTAAAAGTGCGGTTAAACAGTTTGAAGCTAGTGATGGAAGGAGTTACGGATGATGACTTCAAGAAAATACAAAAGGAATGGGCCTACGCGAAATATGGGTCTGGATGCAATAGTACCCACTTATTTTTAGATCTTAAACGTATTGAAAATTGTAATACAGCACAAACCATTTTGAAGAATAACCAAGAGAATGAAAAATTTAAAAAATATTTATTGTGGAAGCAGAAACATGCAAAAGTCGTGCAAAAGTTTCTTTCGGTGGACAAAGAAACTGTTTACTCATACAAAAGTCAGGTTTCCGGTGAATTTGGTAAATTCTATGCTTACCAGAGAAAATATCTTTATAAAGATGACGAAAAGTATAAAGCTTATAAATGAATATCTCAAACAGCCATATATCGTCTGGATTTATAATTTCATATCGTTGAATACTTGAAATTATCAAACATGTAATAAATTTACGATATAATAAATATTTTATACCTATAAAATGAAAGCTGCTATTTATTTTTTTTTTTTATTTTTTGACTCTTAAAATTAGATTAGTTGATTAACGGTATTTTAATCCATTTATTTCTAAACTAGCAATTCGCCCCAGCTTTGCACGGGTATTTAACAAAAATTTCAAAATTAATTATAATATAATATAGCTTATGGGGCACTCCATAGTGACTGGTGGGACATTTGACTCTAGGATTATATCAATTATACTCATTGTAATCTGGATTATACTCATTGTTATCTGAATTATACTAGCTACTATCTGAAATTTTTTTCACTCAGTATAATTTGGGATTATATCCAGTATAATCTTGTTCTTTCCGTGTACGTAGATTTAGGATTAAATTAGGATGAATTAGATAAATTTTAAAATTTTAGTCATTTTTCCATTTTGCATGGAATGCCCCTTGTATAATATAACGTGGCGCTTTATATAAAAAAAATTCGAAAAATTACAGTTTTAAATTGTAATTATTACAGATTTGGTAAGAATTACATTGTAAAATGTAAATATTTCATTGGAAGTTCTGAAAATTAATATTCAAAGTTTTAATTTATAAAAATATTATTTCTAACTGCAATTTTTCTAGTTTTTTTATACGAAGCGTATTTTTATATTTTTATAAAGCAAACTTAATATCCACAAAATAAATTATTATAATAATTAAAATAATTACTCTTACTATATAATAAAGATTTAAATTAAAAATAAAAATCTTCTAGTTCTACGTTCTAATTTTCCATAAAATAACCCATAAAAAAATGGACAATACTTCCAAAGAAGAAAATACTGTATTACATAGTAGACAAATGCCTGAAGATAATTATAAAAAAAATATAAAAAATAATTCCGAAGAAAATAATAACCATGAATTTCATTACAAAGCGACACTTTTGCGTCATACTTACAATTTAAACCCTGAAACAATAAATAAATTGCAAGAAAATTTTAAAACATACTTAAATATCTTCTTAGCGTATATACGAACAGACAAATCAGAATCTTCAGATTTCTTTCAGCGCGTTACACTCGGAAGATTCTTTAAGAAGTTATTAATGCTAATTAAATTTATAATACACCCGATTAATCGCGATGAATCATTGAAGCGGTTAAATGATATGAATGACGTGACTTTATGCAATAGAATGCTGTATGAAGAGTGTCGGAAGTTTTTTGGATTAACAAAAGATTTTTTATTAGAACCGAAAAAATTCGAGCAAGAAGAATGGTCTCTTAATGAGTGGGGCAAGAATTATTGGAATTTTCTACACGCTTTATCTATTTTAGTGCAGTATGAGAATAAATATAAGGATAAAGCTTTGTTTCAAATAATTATGATTATAATTTCAGGAAGCCGATTATTAATATTTTTTTTTAATAAAAAAAAAAACTCTATTTACAAAATACGGTCTTGAAGTTGAATTTGAATGAATTATTTTCATAAGATATTTGTCACGTTTTTCATTGTCATTTGTACATTTTATTAATTTATAATTGATTTTTTGGATAGACTTTTTTATTGGAGCTTCATCAGATGTAAATTTTTCCCATACAGTATCATTGGCATCTTTAAGACCTGTACATATTACCCAATCCCAGCCATATTCTGGAAATCTGTAAACATTGACAGAAGTGTTATACTAAAAAATAATAAAAAAAGTATAGTAGATTTAATTTTTATGATAAAATTTTAATTAAAATTAATTAAGAAGATATTTGATAACTTTAATAATATTTTTGACAAAGACGAAATTATGGAAAAAAAATTTGACATGTAGAATTTTTAAAAAACTAAAAATGCAATTTATTAAAAATAATTTTTTGGAACAAATTTATTTGTTAAATAAAATTAAGAAATTATTATGTGACTGCTAACTTTATTGTCGTAAATTTATTAAAATTAATTTAATAATTTTAATAATATTTTTGACAAATAAATTATAGGAAAAAAATTTAAAAAAAAAAATTGGCCTGTAAAATTTAAAAAAATTAAAAAATGCAATTTTTATTAAATAAAATTAAGAAATTATTAAGTGACTGCTAACTTTAATGTCATAAATTTATTAAAATTAATTTAACAAATATTTGATAACATTAATAATATTTTTGACAAATAAATTATAGGAAAAAAATTTAAAAAAAAAAATTGGCCTGTAAAATTTAAAAAAATTAAAAAATGCAATTTTTATTAAATAAAATTAAGAAATTATTAAGTGACTGCTAACTTTAATGTCATAAATTTATTAAAATTAATTTAACAAATATTTGATAACATTAATAATATTTTTGACAAATAAATTATAGGAAAAAAATTTAAAAAAAAAAATTGGCCTGTAAAATTTAAAAAAATTAAAAAATGCAATTTTTATTAAATAAAATTAAGAAATTATTAAGTGACTGCTAACTTTAATGTCATAAATTTATTAAAATTAATTTAACAAATATTTGATAACATTAATAATATTTTTGACAAATAAATTATGGCTAAAAAAATTTAAAGGTAGAATTTAAAAAAAAATAAAAAACGCAATTTTTTAAAAAGTAATTTTTGTTAAATAAAATTAAAAAATTATTAATTAACTGCTAACTTTAATATAAATTTAAATCTTACGCATTTTTAGAAGGATTCTGCAAGAATTGATCAAAAATTTTTTGAGCATACGACAGACAATTTTTATTCTTCACACCACAAAGTACCGGAGCGAAGACTTTTCTAATCCGAGCAGATTCAAGTGTCTCTCCCTCAAAATTAGTCTCAGCTATTGCATTAGTAAGAAAACGAATATATTCTTCAAACAGATCTTCATTATTAGTATTAAGATATTCTTCTGAAATTTTTGCCAAAATCTCAGTTAAAGGCACCCAAGGTAAGAATTCTTTTTCTCGATTAAGGTAAAGAGATATTTTAAAAAGCGTGTCAATAAAAGAAGGATTATTTTTAACATTTCTGATAGCAGTTGCTATGAGCTGAGCACGATTCACCGGATGAATTTTTTCGTGATCTTTTATCAGATAGTCAGCGAGTCGATTCCAGTTTTCTTCGTCATAATTACCTTGGTACATTGCTAAAAAAAAATTTTACAAAATAAATTTTTATTTTTAAATTACAAAGACAAAGTAGGGTAAATGCACCAATTATTGACCGATTAAGGTTTTCTTTTTCTGTACTAAGCTATAAAAAATCTATTAACCTACTAAAAACAATTTGTAATGGATTTTATTAAAGTTAAATACTTAATTAATAATAATTAATAACTATTTATAATAAAAATTAACAAAATTATATTAATTTTGTTATTTGAATGTTGAAATACTAAAATCACCAATTATTGACCGAAGAAACCCAATAAATGACCGACCGTTCTCCAATTAATTGACCGCTCAAATAATTATAAGTAATTTTGTAAACTACATGTATGTAATTAAATTTATGGAGTATTTTTGAAGTATTAACGACATCTTTAACAAAACTAAACATACAATATAATTTTAAATCGTATTTTTTTATAAAATAAGATAAATAATAGCAATAATTAACATAAAGTCACATTTCTTTAGGTCACAAATAATCACAAATTCATTTTGATGATGATAATTTTTCTGATTCACTTGAAATTTTTTTATTCTTCTCCTTCTTTTTTTCAATTAAAGCTTTTTTACTAGCTTGTAACTCTTTTTTATTTTTTTAATTGCTTAGCAATTTTTTCTTCTAATAATTCGTTCTTTGATACAACCGTTCACTAAAAAAATTAGAACAAAATAAAATTTAATAATCAAAAAAGATTTTAAGTATTATTTTAATTATAAATATACTCTTTATAATGATTATTTTTATATTTACAAAATATTGAATGACTAAAGTACTTTATAAACACTTGACAGATTTAATTTTGAGATTAAGAAGTTAGTATTATAAATATACGGTCATTAATTGGATTGTGATAAAATCAGAGGGTCTAATAAATGATCGAATGAATTTTTTACTGGGTAAAGGGCTTCTGACGGATCCAATAGTTGACCGGTCTTAAAATAATATTAAAACTTATAATTTAACTTTACTTTTTCAAAAAAGTTGGAATCTGATCTTTAATTAACATAATAAAACTAAAATATTTTTTATTATCCCGATAAATATCACTAAATTAATTATGAAATGCACTCACTCTCCAATTGTACGCTAATTATTTTTGACCGCTAATTATTTTAAAGCTATAATCACTGCGCAATTAATTGCGTAATTTTTTATTATGATGATTAAATGCCATATTTTTTTATTTTAATACTTTAAGAAAAAAAAAACCCTTGTAAAATATTAATTAATTAACTTTTTTTATACATCGGTCAACTAATTGGTGACCGGTCAACAACTGGTGCATTTACCCTATTTTATTAATTTAAAAAAAAAAAATTTTTCAATCAATAAGAAAATCGATTTTTCTCTACTAGTAACTTTCAGACGTATTAATCTGTATCCGGGTCAAATGTTGTTTTAATATTTCTAATAACAAATTAATTTTTATTATGACTGTTTTATTTCGAATCTTTATAATCTCTAGATCACAGAAATGTTCAATTTTGATTTCAAAGAAAATCTTTTTAGTAAAAAAAAACTTTTTCTTTTTCAACTAAACTCAAACTCTGAGCAAATTTTAAATTTCTTAATAATTCGTTTAAGATTGGTCACATTTTTAAAGGCGAATATTTTAATATTTTTCTCATATCATTATATCAGCAATTATCATTGTAGATTTTGAGAAGTCCATAGAATCACAGAATAATTTATTTACCTTTTTTAAAATAAATATTATTTAAAAAATACAAAAATGTCACTAGTAGGGGCATGAAAATTCTCTAACGCCAATTACCGGCAATGTTAAAATCAAAGGCGTTCTAACTTTTTTATATAGTAAATCTGTTTACGTTAATAAACGTTCTGTCTGACGGTGCAGTTATTAACAATCTCAATACGAGTCTTTTAAAAGTAATCAACAATATATTTTTGCTTAAATAATTTTAAATTCAATTATTGTTAATTTTACAATTCTTTTTCTAATAAATGTGTGTTGTAAATAATACTTTTGTGTTTATAATATATTTTTTGAAAAATTTTACGTGTACGAGTTAGATCCGCCACTAAAGGGGTCAGTAGTATGCCACTAATTGGATCAAGGGGTTATTTACCCTGCCATTAATGGGATCATTTAAATAATGGATTTTAAATTATTATAAATAATGGTAAATTTGAAAAAATTAAAATTTTCAAAATTAATCATGTAAGTTTAAACATTAATGAAAGCATTAAATACAAACAAATTCAATATTTGTACTTTAACTATAATAAAAGAATCATTCTGTGAACCCCCTTCTTTATAGTGCCACTAATGGGGTCTTTTACCTTAGCACACGGAAAGAACAAGATTATACTGGATATAATCCCAGATTATACTGAGTGAAAAAAAATTTCAGATAGTAACTAGTATAATTCAGATAACAATGAGTATAATCCAGATTACAATGAGTATAATCTAAATATTATTCAGTATAATCTGGATTATACTAGCTACCATCTGAAATTTTTTTTTTTCACCTCAGATGTCACTGAGTATAATCTGAGACGGTATCCAGTGTCATCTTGTTCTTTCCGTGCATGTTTAATTTATTTTTGAAAAAATTAACTAATTTTTTATTACTAGATCTGACATAAAAATTAAAATATTTAAAAACACTTACGCCAAATAACCATCTCGTTGACGAAAAGGAAGTTTAGTCGTAGAGAACATCCGCTTAACAACTTCTCGGTGGGGTCCCAAATCAAGTTCCATCTCCGGGATGTGATCCTCCATTTCCTGTGTAATTATCGCTGCCAACTCGAAGTCGAGAGTTTTGATCGTTTCTAGCAGCTCCTCACGATCAAGACATAATTTCAAGACATGGCTGCTTAGCGGACCCTTGCTCTCATTAGGGCATTTTATCAGGATCTGCTCGAGACCAAAGACCTTTTCGATTGCTTCGAGTAAGGCCAGCAGTTTTTGTGGAATAACTGTACGAAGCTGAAAAGACAATTATTGATTAAAACATTTGATCATTAAAATTTAAAAAAAGACATAAAAGACGAACACAATTAAAAAGAAAAAATTGAATTACATCGTCTACGTCTGAAGATTGCATCTAAAAAAAGCAAATAAAAAAAAAAAAAATAATTATAAAAGCATCAAGCGATAAGCAACCTAGAATTAATTAGGTGGGGAATACTGGAGTGTAAAAGGTAAGGAAAAGAACTTACTTAAATGCAGTTAATAAAGGTATTATTAAAAAATAGTAAAATTATGGGTTTATTGTAGGGTAAATGCACCAGATGTATAAAAAATTTAATTAATTAATGTTTTACAAGGGTTTTTTTGTTATCTTAAATTAAAACTGTCACATGTTCAAAGTACTTTAATCATTTAATGTTTTGTAAATATAAAAAAAATAATGATTATAAAATGTATATTTATAATTAAAATAATACTTAAAATCTTTTTTGGTTATTAAATATCAAAAAACGAATTATCAGAAGAATAAATTGTTAAGCAATTAAAAAAATAAAAAAAAAGTTACAAGCTAGTAAAAAAGCTTTAATTGAAAAGGAAAAAAAAAAAAAAAAAAAAAAGAAGAATAAAAAAATTTTAAGTTAATCGAAAGAATCATCAAAATGAATTTGAATAAAGAAATGTGACTTTATGTTAATTACTGCTATTATTTATATTGTTTCATAAAAAAGTACGTTTTAAAATTATATTATAAGTTTAGTTTTATTAAAGATGTCATAATTGGTCAATAATTGGTGCATTTACCCTGTATAATTTTAAATGAAAATAAAATTAGCCGACATCTAAAAATTTTTATTTTTTTTATTAAAGATTTGACAAAAAATTAAAAAAAAAAAAACAAAACAAAACAATTTTTTTTAATTGGTAAAAACTATGCAATTTTTTAAAAATATTTTTCAGTTATAATTCGATAAATTAAGAACAAAAAAAAATTAAAAATATCGGCTAACTTTATTATTATTTATTTTAAGATTTTTAATATAATACTCAATTACTATAATTAATAAAAATTGAAAAATTGAATGCTGAATAATAAATATAAAATTGAATTCTGGAGGAGCCATGCGGAGATTAATGTTAAAAATTTAATGAAAAAAGCAAAAAATAATTAATTAAATTTTACTGAATATTGAAACAATTAAATACCTTGATTTCAGATGTAAGATTTAAGTTAATTATAAATCCTTGAAATTTAATTTAACCTCGGGATTCGGAGTGATGTTTTTATTATTAAGTCTTTCTATTCATACGCCCACGTGTTGATGCTTTCGGCATGTGATCTGGAAAGGGAATTGTTAATGGCAGTGTGAGTATTAGAGGGCGCGTCGATAGCACCACCTCTGGTAAGGTAAAGTGCAGAGAGCGCCACTTATTATTTCCACTTATTTTGGCGGTAAAATCAGGTTGTAATGTGTGAAACTCACTCTATTGATAAGAAAGCAAAATAATAAAGTGCTCTCATAAAAAGCAGAAAAGGCCTCTATTTACATCGTGTTATTATTGTATTGACATTTATAATTTAAAGAAAATTTTCATTTATCTATAAGTAAATCTTGAATGATTTTAATTATTTATCATAATGATAGTATCAACAATACATGTTAGAATTTTATCAATTAAAAAAAAAAATTAAAATATATTTTATTATGAAGATGTCTAATTTAGTATCTCGTGCGTTCAATTATTTTTGTGGAGTTAGACCGGTAAGTTAAATAATTCCTTATTAATTAAATTAAAATTTATTGATTAAATAAATTTTGTTCAGGAAAATTTAAAAAATTAATGATACTAAAATTAGCCGACAACTGAATTAGCAATAAAAAAATATTTAAAAAAAATTTCACGTATATAGTTTTTCAAATTTTTTCTTTTAGAATATCGTTTTTATTTGTATCACATATTGCGTATTACAAAACTGTATCTTAGATTGTTTATTTACATTTGCATATACACTATTTTTGGCTTAAAAATCAACTGCTTTTACTCTCTTTTAACTTTTCACCCACCTCATCCTTCATATCACAGTCGCATTAAGCATTACAATACTATTAATACTATTTTATACTTATTTCTAGTATCCATCCCTGTATATTAATGACAGCCTTTTTCTGACATTCAATATTGTAATACTACTCAATTTCCTTAAGTAATTTTTCCATTTCTCTAACATATATACACAGCTCCCTATTTATTTCCCCTTTTAAAATTATCACTAATCTTTCTCTTGTTAATTCCCCCTCTAGTTGTTCCATCCACTTGTATCTTGCTTGTTGCCCTTTTTCACTTATTTTTTCCATTATCTCTGAACAGCTTAATAAATATGCATCAGTGTCTCCTCCTCTTTCTTGCATATTCTGCATTCCCAATTCTTTTCGCTTCTCCACAGATTTCCACATCTCATTCTTGCCCATACCTCTTTGTACTCACTATTAATTCTATCTTTTTTCCAATAACTGATTTCACTTTCTTGTAATATATCTTTGTAAAACTCGTTATATCTGGACTTTTCTATTAGCAACTTTTCCTTTTTTTCTAATTCTTTTTTGTATTTTTCCAGTCCCTCCTTTATTTTTTCCTCTATTTCTTCTACATTTGCTCCCTCATATATTCTCCTAATAATTTCTTCTATGCCTATCACCACTAGAAAATTCTCTACTTTTTTTCCCCATTTTGTTGGATTTTTGTTGATTATTCCCCTCATTTCTTCTTTCATGCATATCTTTGGCCATCTGTTATCTTCAAGCTTCATTATATCTACCAGGTACCTGAGTGCCCTTTCTTTTAATATATATTCTATGTGCTCTATTCCCAATTCCCTTCTGATGATGTAAGTTGGTGTATTTCTTGCTACCCCCAGCGCCATTTTATTCACTTTGTTATAAAACACTTTAATTTTTTTCTGCATTTTCCCACCCCCATACTTCCACTCCGTACATACATCCTGCATTTACCAGTGAATTATATAGATAGACCCTATCTCTTGCGTTATTCCTATCCGCCCTCTTTATTAGTCCCCAGGTAGCATTAGCAGTGGCGTTCGCCAAATTTTTTCTTTTAATTTTTTTGCAATAATTTTATTAATAAAAAAATTCTGAAAATAATCAGCTGTCTGCTAATTTTATTTTCATAAAAATTATCATATTTTAACTATAGCTTCATAAAATTTTTAAGTATAAAAAGCTGATCTTATGAAAAAAAAAAAAAAAAAAAGGTACATCTTATTTAGCAGTCAGGTAAATTTAAACGTTTGACGAAAAATTTTCAATTCGAGAATTTAAAGATGAATAAGCTCAACAAATTTATTAAGTGCTTAAAAGCACATGAAGCAATGACAAAGTAAGTATTGATAAATAATATATTTCAACAATATTTTATGTACAAAAGTTTCTTTCGGTGGAGGAAAAAACTTTTTACTCATACGAAAGTCAGGTTTTAGTTGTATTTTTTAAATTCGATGATTACGAGAAAAAATGTATTAAAAATGACAAAAAGTATAAAGCTCATAAATGAATGCCTCAAACAGCCATATCGTCTGGGTTTATAATTTCATATCGTTAAATACTTGAAATTATCAAACACGTAATAAATTTACTACATAGTAAATATTTTATACTTATGATTTGAAAGCTGCTATTTATTTTCTCCAAATTTTTTGACTCTTAAAATTGGATTAGTTGATTAACGGTATTTTAATCCATTTATTTCCAAACTAGCAATCCAGCAATCCAGCCCGGTTTTGCATTCAGGTGCTCATTCATTTTTTTTATTATTAAAAACCTGAAATTTTTAATTTTTAATTATTAAAGCGCATTGATTTAAAATATAATTAAAATATGAGTCACTAATTGCACGATCTATTGCATACATTAATAATATACTCATAATTTGATACTTTATTAAATTACATAACAAAAAAACAAAATTACTTTTGTATTTGTAATGAATTAATCAATTTAACAATTTAATTTATTAACAAGTAATAAAAAAAGGCAATCTATATTCTATAAATATATTTATTAAAAATTATTATTCTATAGTAATTGTGAAACTCAAAAAATATTTTTATTTTAATTTTAAATTAAAAAAAATGAAGCAAAAATCAGTTTTATTTATCCAAGTAATAGAATTTAACAATGACTATAATTTCTGCAATTTTTATCTTATAAAAAATTTATCAACTACAAGACGTAAAAATATTAAAATTAATATAGATGATATTCAAACATTTACCTCTAATAAACAAAATTCACTATTTCCAGTTCGCATTTATAGCAATAATATGAAGCCGCTAAGATTTAGTTCTCTTCAAGCAATTAATGAGTTACTTAAAGACCTTACTAATCTTGAATTCATTGTAATTTACAAGTCAATGCGCACATCTAATAATCAAAAATATGAAAATTATTATAATTTAGTAAAAAATAAATTTAATGGATATAAAATTGTTGAAGGTCTTAATAATCTTGTAGATATTGAAAAATGTTTAACTTATGTTCATCCTACTTTGGTTCATTTACAAAACTTTTATAATTGTAAGCTGCTTATTGATTGATAAGATTAATAAAATTTGCAATTTATAATTTGTCGAAGTTTATTAGTCATACTATAAGACAAAAAAATTGTCGATTGAATTTAATTGAAATAGATTTTTATAAAATATGGCTATTGTTTAGCATTATTTTAACTACTGCCTGCTAAAAAATAAATTTGGACATTTACAATTTAAGTTACTTAAAGACCTTACTAATCTTGAATTCATTGTAATTTACAAGTCAATGCGCACATCTAATAATCAAAAATATGAAAATTATTATAATTTAGTAAAAAATAAATTTAATGGATATAAAATTGTTGAAGGTCTTAATAATCTTGTAGATATTGAAAAATGTTTAACTTATGTTCATCCTACTTTGGTTCATTTACAAAACTTTTATAATTGTAAGCTGCTTATTGATTGATAAGATTAATAAAATTTGCAATTTATAATTTGTCGAAGTTTATTAGTCATACTATAAGACAAAAAAATTGTCGATTGAATTTAATTGAAATAGATTTTTATAAAATATGGCTATTGTTTAGCATTATTTTAACTACTGCCTGCTAAAAAATAAATTTGGACATTTACAATTTAATCTAAGGACATTCTATGCGAAATAGATAAATGAGTAAAATTAAAGAAATTTTTCTAATTGCTTTTAATTAAGTCCTAATTTATTATTAAAAGTTTATATTTTACTAATTTGTAAAGAAAATTTTTTTTAATCAATAAGAAAATGGATTTTTCTCTCCTAGTAACTTTTCAGCCATACTAACTTTTATCCGGGTCAAATGTTGTTTTAATAGTTTTAACAACAAATTCATTAAATGTTTGTTATTAACTAACATATTTATTATTATAGTTTTAAGAACAAATTTTGTTTATGTTCGTTATTAATTAACACCTAAGTTTATCAAGATCGTGTTGTCAGCATGCTAAATCCTTTATTTGTCTTTTTTAATTAGTTTTTTTTAATTATCCTAAATAATTTATAGTTAAATATATAAACAATAATGTTTCTAAGGTTGAAATAATATAAAAGTCTTTTTAATAAATAACTTGATGTAGACATTTAGTACTTGTTCCACCAGTGACAAATGCCTGTCCCACCAGTCACAATAAAAACAAATTTATTTAATTGTTTCTACGTAGGTAATCAGTGTAATTCTTCATAATATTCAATGTGTTGTAGGATTAATTTTGTATTTTCGAGGGGAGTATTTTTTTTTAGTTTAGTGCAAGAACTGACAATTGGACTTTAAGTATACCTTTGGTAAGAGAGAAGGATTTGTTCTTAGTCCCACCAGTCACACTTAGTCAAATTATAATTACGAGAAACTTAAAAAGTAATGGAGGTTTTTTACAAAGGGATCTTGTTAATTAGTTATTCTTCTATATTATAAGATAAATTTTACTATTGTTGAAGTTTCAGTCACATAATTATATATAATTGATGAAATTCCAGAGTCAAATGTCCCACCAGTCGCTATGGAATGCCCCTTGAATAATAAATTATAAATTATTATTTAAAAAAATTCTAATATCAAAAAAATGAATTATTTATTGTAAGATTGCGGCAAAAATGTCATTTTAAATACTCAGTATCTATATATATCTTCTTTTACAAATTAATTAATTGACTTAATACTTTTAAAGTAAAGTTAATTTCTGCAAAATAAATTATTATACTAATTAAAATAACTACAATTACTAATTTATAGATATGTAAATTTAAAAAAAAGTCTTTTAGTTCTAAAAGCGCTCAATATTTTCCATAAAAAAAATGGACAGTACTTCCAAAGAAGAAAAAAATGAATTACACCCTAAGCAAATGCTTGAAGATAATTATAAAAATATAAAAAATAATTCCGAAGAAGATAATCACCATGAATTTCATTACAAAGCAACACTTTTGCGTCATACTTACAATTTAAACCCTGAAAGAATAAATGAAGTACAAGAGAACTTTAAAAAATACTTAAATATCTTCTTAGCGTACATAAGAACAGATAAGCCAGAATCTGCAGATTTCTTTCAGCGCGTTACACTTGGAAGATTCTTTAAGAAGTTATTCATGCTAATTACATTTGTTATCCATCCGATTAATTGCGATGAATCATTAAAACAATTGAATAATATGAATGATGTAACTTTATGCAATACAATGCTCTACGAAGAGTGTCGGGAGTTTTTTGGATTGAAATCAATATTAGAGCCGAAGAAACTCGACCAAGAAGAATGGTCTCTTGATGAGTGGGGCAAGAATTACTGGAATTTCCTCCACGCTTTGTCTATTTTAGTGCAGTATGAGTACCAAAAGGATTCTAATCATCCTGCGATGGACTACCTTGCTTTAATAATGGTTAATTTTCACATAATCTTGCCCTGCAGTGTATGCAGTGTTCATTACAAGGAAAGAAATCCGCTGGTTAATATTACACTGCCGATTTTACACGGTAAAGATGCTATTTATGTTATTTATGAGTTACACAATATTGTGCGTCTTAGAAATGGGTTAGTTTGGTTTCCGATTGAAAGTTTTGTAAAGAATTGGAATTTGGAGATTTTAAAGTCGGAGAATGTTGATATAGATATTACGGAACCGCTTTCATAGATTTGATTAATTTAGAGCAATTAAAAAATGACCTTGTTTCTTGTGAACTATTGACATTTTTAAAGATATAAGCTCATTCTGATGTTATACTCATCGAGACCTTTCATTTGAGTACCCACATCAATTTTTCATATATTTTATATATTTATATATATTATATATATGTATATATGAAAAATATATCAAAAATGCATGTGGGTACTTAAATAAAAGCTCTTGAGGAGTGTTACATTGAGATGAGCTTATATTTTTAAAAAAGTCAATAGTTAAGATATTACAGTGCAATTTAACATAATTAAGAAATGACCTTGTATCTTGTTAATTATTGATATTTTTAAAGATATAAGCTCATCCTGGTGTTACATTCATCGAGACCTTTTATTTGAGTACCCACATCAATTTTTCATATATTTTATATATTTATATATATTATATATATGTATATATGAAAAATATATCAAAAATGCATGTGGGTATTCAAATGAAAGCTCTTGATGAGCATAACACCGGGATGAGCTTATATCTTTAAAAATGTCTCTATTTAAGAAAGTACAGTGCAAAAAAAAATGGGCAATTTTGTTATAAAAAATAAATTTGTTTAAAATTTTATTTCTTCAGCTAAGACATAAAATTGTTTAAAATAAAAAAATTTTTTAATAATAAATAATAACTTGTTTGTTTCTGAAATAAAATTTTTATTGTTCTTCGATTATTTTACACTATAGATATCAATTAAAGTCTATATAATTGTTCAAATATTTATAAATGGCAGTTGTGCTTACAAATGCATATAAACTCAAGAATCTGTGGCAGTTAATTTAGCTAAGTATCAGATTTACGACAAATAATTAAAAGACACCTATTGAATTTCTCGGTTTTTAATTTTTTACAAACTACAAAATTTTAGAATGCAATATGATTAACTAAACATTATTAATTTTGACATATAACTCTAGATATTTAATTTATGCGAAGCACAATATATTTTTATTAGTCCAATTTAAAAATAAACCTCTTATTTCTTCTTCTAATATTTTTGAATATTAATTTAATTTTAATAATATAACAATATTAAACATAATTTAAAGATAAAAGAGATGTTTAATAACAATTACTCTTATTTTTTTAAAAATATATCATATCGCTCGCGGAAATTAACTACTGAAGACTATTTAATTATAATTACAATCAATTCCATTAATAATTTATTTTACATTTTTTTTTATATTACTAATTATTAAGAACTAAAAAATAACTTCACTTGGCTTATTGTAAAATTAATAAATAATTTTTTTATTAATAGTAAATAAATTTAAAAATTAATAATTTATTAATTATTAATCAATAGTTATTTTCTGTGAGGATATGGCTTGAAGATTTATTTTTTTCTTACTTATTTATTTATTTATTTCTTTTTTATTATTTATTATATTAGTGTTGCCAGGTTTTGAGGTCAATCTAAAATTTTTAAAAATTTACACTAAGAAGAAATAATATTTTTAAAAAAATTAATTGTCTTTAAATAATTTAAATAAAAGTTTAATAATTAATTCATTTAAATTTATATTATAAAGAAGAATATAAAAATGGGAAGAAATAAAAAATTTTTTATAAAAAAAAAGTTTTCGATGCAATGACAATATTTCTGTATAAAAAGTAAAAAAAAAAAAAAGTGATAACTCTTAATATAAATTTATTATAAGACTCTGGTTTATTTTTTTAAGATATTTCTTCTTAATTTTCTGTAACTTAGATAAGAGGACATACTTTTAATTGAACTTAATAAAAAAATTAATTAAAAATTATTCTACTAATAAATAGATAATTACAGTAGTTTTTTCGTCGCTGTATAATACACAATTATAATTTATAATACAATAATTTTTTAAAATACAAAAAAAAAATTTTATTAAGAACTTTTTAAAGTAAATTGATAAATTTCTATATACTCTATACTATAATCCATCGCTTTATAATACAAGCGTTAATATTATTTATTAAATATAATTGTTATTTTAATTTTAATTATTTTTTTTAATACATTACATAAAACTTTATTACAATTATTATAGATTTAACATCCTCAATTATATAATTTTTATAATAATTTCACAGAAACAGTACATGGTCCAAATTTTTAATTTATCTAAAGAATTAATATCTTATATGTAGAAAATGCACATCCACATCTGGCAACACCTAGTAAGCGTAATATTTCGAATAATCTAATAGCAGATGTAACATGTTGTAGTTTTAATAAATATGAGGATAAAGCTTTGTTTCAAATCATTATGATTATAATATTTAAGGAAACCAATTATTAATATTTTTTTTTAATAAAAAAAAATATTAATTTTTTTAAAAGAAAAATTTTTAACTAATTTTTTGAATAGAAAAATTTTTTAGTTCAAGTAATTTATTTTTTTTTTTTAAATATTTTACAATTCCATTTTTAGAAACATAATTGAGAAATGACCATATATCTTGAAAACTATTGACATTTTTCAAAATATAAGCTCATCCCGATGTTAAACTCATTGAGACCTTTCATTTGAGTACCCACATCAATTTTTCATATATTTCATATATTTATATATATATGTCTATATGAAAAATATATCAAAAATGCATGTGGGTACTCAAATGAAAGCTCTTGATGAGTGTAACATCAGGATGAGCTTATATCTTTAAAAACGTTAATATTTAAAAAAGTACAGTGCAATTTAACAAAAATTATTATTTAATTAACCAAAATTTTATTTATTTATAGCTCAGGTAGTGACTGCAAGGTTGCTAGTCTTCCTTATTAGAATTTTTTTAATTCAAAAAATTGACTTAAAAAAAGAAATCTTGAAACAAAAAATTTTTTAATTAAAAAAATGTATCTTATTATTTCTAAAATATTTAATTTTAATTCCATTTCTTCTTTAAATATTCAAAAATTTCAAATTAGATTTCTTACTTTTTTTTTTTTTAACAAATAACTTGGATAAAATTTAAAATTTTAATATCTATTGTATTGTCTAAAAATAAACCTAGAATGTGGTATAACCGGCTTCCAAAAAATCTGATGGTAAATATATTTTTTAATGAAGTTATTTAATTCACAATGATGTTTATAGAAAAGCTAATAAATTTCTCATACTTTTTGCTGAGATAATAATAGAAATCTAAAAATTTAAATTTAAATGTCAAAGATGTTTATTTAACATTCGGCCAAATAAAAAATGGTCCCCGTGAATTGATTATTCTGAGAGTGCTCTGAAATAAATCGATGAATAACACTTTAACCGTAATAGCTACTTAAACGAATAAACAATATTAAATATTAAATATTAAATATTAAATATAGTTAATATGTATTTAATATTTCGCATATTATCATTTGGATCATTTTTTATTTAATATTAATTATTCATCTAACCACACGATTATATCTTCTTGATTTATTCACGGACGGATATTATTACATATTGTTACATTTCATTAATTCTGGTGTTTAGTAATTTATTTATTGTTGGCATAGTTTTCCTATTTTTATCATAATACCTACAGACTTATAGATTAAGCAAGGTACTCTTTTTCTATTTAATTATTTACATATTAAATTAATCTTTCATATATATTGATATACTTGGTTAAATTATTTTTAATAAATCATGCATCACTTTTTTTTTTTTTTAAATAAATAGAGCGAATCATTTCGGAGCACCCATTAATAATTTAAAATTATATTTTTTTTTTAAATTAAATTAATAGAGGATCAAAAGAAGCTGTATTAATTTTTATAAAAATTAAAATTTTTTTAAGTATGCTAATACATATTTTAAGTATGCTAATACTATCTCTGGACACATAATTAAGAAATGACCTTGTATCTCGTGAACTATTGACATTTTTAAAGATATAAGCTCACCCCGATGTTACACTCCTCGAGACCTTTCATTTGAGTACCCACATCAATTTTTCATATATTTCATATATTTATATATATTATATATATGTAAATATGAAAAATATATCAAAAATGCATGTGGGTAGTCAAATGAAAGCTTCTGATGAGTGTAAGTTAGGGATGAGCTTATATCTTAAAAAATGTCAATAATTAAGAAATGACCTTGTACCTCGTGAACTATTGACATTTTTAAAGATATAAGCTCATCTCAACATTACACTCCTCGAAACCTTTCATTTGAATACCCACATCAATTTTTCATATATTTTATATATTTATATATATTATATATATATGTATATATGAAAAATATATCAAAAATGTATGTGGGTACTCAAATGAAAGCTCGTGATAAGTATAACATCGGGATGAGCTTATATCTTTAAAATCATTAATAGTTAAAAAAGTACAGTGCAATTTAACAAGAGTCATTATTTAATAAAGCAAAATTCCATTTATTTATACTTTAAACGTCACGGCAGTCACGTAGTGACTGCAAGGTCGCTAGTGATATTTTTTATATAACCAAAATTTTTACTGTAATATTAAAAATTTGAAATTATTGCAAAAATTTAATTATTAAAAAATTTGATCCTCTATTTAAAAAATATAAAAAAAAAATTATGACTAAAACAATAAATATTTATACTTTTGATATGCTTATAAAAAAATTGCTCTCATAAATAAAAAATATTAATCAAATAAAAAAAGTCCCGTCAAGTTATAAATATTCCCTTATTTCTACAAAGACGCGTCCGACATTTAAAAATTTAACACTAAGCGAAAACAGTTTAAGAATATAACAGCTTAAATATGACAAGAGATTATAAAGGGTTGGAAAACATGTGATTAAATTTATAACGTCTCATGATATGCTGGAAAACTGTTTAAGAATTTAACGTCGGGTTACTAAGGGTTACAGATAAAGTAACGAATAAAAAATTTTAAATAATAATAATAATAATAATAATAAATATCAAAAATTTTTTATCTTTTAAAGAACCGCAGAAATCCTTGGCGTTTAATTGATGGTGGTGCCATTAGCATTGGTACTTGGTTTTTATGAGTAATGTGAATCTGTATAAACAATATAAATTTTTTAGAATGGTAATTATTATTTATATTTTTTATTTTTTTAGATAATTGTAAGTAATTAAAAAAAAAAAAAATTACCTCACAAGGTCCTTGCATCCATGGCTCTCCATCTATTTGCATGGGGAAGCGTTTATTTGTCTTAATTATAACGCTACTACATTGTGCTAATCTTCTTCCAGATGCTCTCAGTCCGGTTTTAACTTGGCCCATGTGTAAACAATTTTCTAGACCTATCACTTCTATCAGGTTGTCTCCTATATCTGTGAGGAAAAAAAAATTGTTTTTAATATTTGATAGTGCAATTTTACATAATTAAAAAATGACCTTGTATCTTGTGAACTATTAATATTTTTAAAGATATAAGCTTATCTCGGTGTTACACTCATCAAGACCTTTCATTTGATTACCCACATCAATTTTTCATATATTTCATATATTTATATATATTACATATATGTATATATGAAAAATATATCAAAAATGCATGTGAGTACTCAAATGAAAGCTCTTGATGAGTGTAACATCGGGATGAGCTTATATCTTTAAAAATGCCAATAGTTAAGAAAGTATAGTGCAATTTAACATAATTAAGAAATGACCTTGTATCTTGTGAACTATTGACATTTATAAAGATATAACCTCATCCCGATGTTACATTTATCAAGACCTTTCATTTGATTACCCACATCAATTTTTCATATATTCAATATACTTGTATATATTATATATATGTATATATGAAAAATATATCAAAAATGCATGTGGGTACTTAAATGAAAGCTCTTGATGAGAATAACATCGGAACGAGCTTATATTTTTAAAATATATGTTATATATATGTATATATGAAAAATATATCAAAAATACATGTGGGTACTCAAATGAAAGCTCTTGACGAGTCTAACATCAATATGAGCTTATATCTTAAAAAACCTTAATATTTAAAAAATTACAGTGCAATTTCACAAAAGACATTATTTAATAAAACTTTATTTATAGTTCACAAGTTACTGCAGTCACGTAGTGACTGCATTGCTAGTTTTCTATCATAAATCTTTTGAAATTACAGTAAAAATATTAGTTTTATAAAAAAATCATGACTTTTTTTTTAGAAAATTAAATTTCTTACTTTTGTTCCAAAAATTCTAAGACCAATGTTTCCGTTAAAATATCAATAATTCACTTTTTTTAGTACTTTATCCTTTATTTATAAAATAATTTTTTAAATTGCAATAAATAAAATAATTACCTTGAATAGCAACAGTCAAATCAACAGAATTAAAGCTGCTAGTACTAAGCTCCTTATCCGGCCTCTTCTTCCTCTTCTTCAAATGAAGCTTAGCGTGATGTTCCCCCCACAAATTGGATCCTCCATGAGTAAAAGGAATGTTAAGCAGCGCAATTCCTTGAAGAGAAGGCCCATGAGCCAAATCTAATGGCGTGCCATCGCAAACAATCTCCAAATCTTCATGTAAATTTTTACAACTCGCCGCAAATTGTTCAGTGGTCGCATATTCAAAGTACCAGAGTTTATTTTTCATTCTGCTGTTAAACTTTTCGGGATTTTTTTCTCTCTCAAGATGAAATTTAACACAAATAGCAGCATCTACGCCAACGGAAAAATAATTATTAATAATATTATAAGGAATACTGTCTTGATTAGGTTTTTTTTCTTCTTTCTGATTAGTTACGTCGATTTGCCACCGGTCCATCATAACAGGTGTCGCTTTTTCTATTTTTTTAAGAATCTTATGCAATCCTTCGCCTTCATAGCCGCCACCCCAACGCAAGCAGCGCGCAAGATCATTACCAGTTCCCAAAGGAACAACTCCAACTGCTGGCTGGTGCTCGAACTGGATCCGGTCCATTGTTTCTAAAATCCAACCCACTGTTCCATCCCCACCGCAGCAAATTACTTTGAAATTCTCGACGTCTTTAAACATTTGCAAACCCGGCATCGGACCTCCAGTTGCTAAATTGTGAACTTGACGCGGGTTTAAAATATACTGAAATTTTCTCAGCATTCTTTCACCTTGTCTGCCTCCAGATTTCGGGTTTATAAAAACTAGCAGAGGAATTGCACCTAGTGGTGGAGTTATTTGGAAGGACATTGCGGGTTGCTGGTTTGAGACATTGCTAGTAGTGCTCAGGAGAGGTCCTGAGCCGATTGATGATGTGTCCTGGCCGTGCTTACTTCCGCGCTTACTGTCGCGGGATAAGGATCTTTGGCGGTCTAAAACTACTGGGCAGATTGATGTGGGTGGTAAAATGTGGATCGCGTATTCTCCTAGGTTACATTCGGCTTTTACTTGAGAGCCGCATTTGTTGTGAATCTGTAAAAATACATTTTTTTTTTTTTCATAATTATTTGTCAATTTATTGAAATAAATTAAAAATAAATTTTTACACTGGTTATTTGTGAAGAAGGTAAATATTTAATTATAAGGTAATTTTTTTAATTTAATTATGAAAATTAAAGAAAATTTCGTATCTCTAGATACATAATTAAGAAATGACCGTGTATCTTGGGAATTATATACGTTTTTAAAGATATAAGCTCGTTTTGATGTTACGCTCATGAAGAGCTTTCATTTGAGTACCCACATGACTTTTTTTTATATATTTTATATATATGGTATTTGTGGAATATATAAATATATAAAATATATGAAAAATTGATGTGGGTACTTAAATGAAAGGTCTCGATGAGTGTAATTTCAGGGTGAGTTTATATCTCAAAAAATTTCAATAATTAAGAAATGACATTGTATTTTGTGAACTATTGATATTTCTTAAGATATAAGCTCATTTTGATGTTACTATCGTCGAGACCTTTCATTTGAGTACCCACATCAATTTTTTATATATTTATATATTCCACAAATACTATATATATAAAATATATAATAAATGTTATGTGTGTACTTAAATGAAAGGTCTCGATGAGTGTAACATCGAAATGAGTTTATATCTTAAAAAATGTCAATAATTAAGAAATGACATTGTGACTTGAGAAATATTGACATTTTTAAAGATATAAGCTCATTTTGATGTTACACTCGTTAAAAGCTATCATTTGAGTACCCACATGGATTTTTCATATATTTGATATATTTATATATTTCACAAATACCATATATATATAAAGTATATAAAAAATGTCATGTGAGTACTCAAATGAAAGGTCTCGATGAGTGTTACATCAAAATGAGCTTATATTTTAAAAAATGACATTGTATCTTGTGAACTATTAACATTTTTAAAGATATAAGCTCATTTTGAAAAAAATGCATGTGGGTACTCAAATGAAAGCTCTTGATGAGTGTATCATCAAGATGAGCTTATATCTTTAAAAATGTCAATAGTTAAAAAAATACAGTGCAATTTAATAAAATTCATTATTTAATAAAGCAAAATTTTATTTATTTATAGTTCACAAGGTTGCTATTTTTTTTATTTTTATGAAAAAAATGTAAATAGATAAATAAAAAAATTAAAAATTTAATTTTGAAAATTCTCGCCTTTTTTTATTAAAAAAATTTAATATTTTTTAATTATTCTAGAAATTTTAGATGATTAAAATAAAATAGAGTGCAATAATTGGACTCTTGTCAATAATTGATGTTTTTATCTATATATAAAATATCATAGCGTTTTAAATAAATACACATATGAGTAATTAAAAAAAAAAGTAAATAAAAGAGGAATAATAAATTGAAAATGATCTAAAAGGATCTAAAATAATATTTTTTACCTTCTAATTTTCCATTATTAACAAGCAGAGAATTATTAGATTTTCGCGATGAATTACGTGACATCTGACTGTGACTAGGACTACTATCAGTGCTTTTTTTTTCTAAAACGTCATGACAACTGTAAGACGTATGAGCAATTGTCAACATTGGATGGACACTTCCTGTGATAAAAAAAAAAAAAAAAAAACTAAGTGATTTTGAAAAAAAAAAAAGCTTTTTTTTTTTTTCAGAGTAACTTTTGTTACCTGTCCTGGCTCGAGCTGACGCTTCACTATCAGTTCTATGGTGACCTAGAGCTTGGAATTTTTCAGTTAGTCCATGGATTTTGTCAGCGAAGGAAGAACTACTGTGACTTTCCGTAGATGCGGTGGGAAGTCCGGTGCTATTTACATTGCTGTTAGATGTGGTGTGAGATGTTATCGCGGCACATGCAGTCGCCGATGACATAACTGCCATCTCCTGAAAAAAAAAAAAAAAAAATATTTATTAGTATTATTATAAAAATTCTTGACTTTAATTTGTGCAATTTTAAAATAAATGGTTTGAATTTTTAATATTATGGCAAAAATATTGGAAAAAATTTTTTAAGCAAAAGTTATTAAAAATTTAATTTTGTAAAAAAATATTTATGATTTTTTTGAAGTATAAAAAATTTTAATCATTTATTATAAACTGCATTATTCTTTATAATAATATTAAATTCTTTCAATATAGCAACATTTTATTTTTTGTATTTATATTTTATAAAATTCATGTCGAAACTTTATAATATTTGAGTTTTCTTATCATATTAAGTATTTCATTCTATTTTAATAGATTTTCAATTTATCGCTATCATAAAATTATCAACATATTACCCGGAAGATACATCAATTCTCGATAAAATATGGATGAAGCGAGGCAGTGGCACTCTTTGTTTCAGCATCATGATGGGGTTACTGGTACTGCTAGAGATAGTGTTGTTGTAGATTATGCGAAGAAAATGATTGCTGCTTTGGATTATTTGGGTGATATTACACAAAAATCAGCTGCGAATTTGTTAAGTTCGATTTTGAAGGCAGAAAAGTCAGAAAAAAATTTGTTAAAGCCAATTTTGAAGGCAGAAAAATCAGAAAAGGATTTATTAAGCTTAAATATCACCCAAAAATCTGCAGCGAATTTATTAAATCGAATTTTGAAGCCAGAAAAATCATAAAAGGATTTATTAAACCCAATTATGAACCCAGACCTTTATTTTTCTCTAGATGAGGTCAGATCTCATCACACTAGTATTGAAGATAAATATATCCTCTCTTTTGGAACCAATGATGAAACTTCTAAGCAAATTGTGGTTTATAATTCGCTTCCGCGAAAACGATCAAAAGTCCAGACATTAATTGTTTCAACACCTTTCGTGAAAGTTACTGGTGCTAAAAATGAATTGTTAGAGTGCCAAATTTCACCAATTTGGAATATGAATGGATCAACGGCTTCTAAAGAAAGTTTTGAGCTTTCATTTGTTGTTAATGCTCCAGGATTTGGACTCAGTACTTATATATACAGTTCATTTTGTGGGAAACAATTTACTACCTTCAACGCATTTTGCTAATGTAACTCTGTTTAATGTACCTTCGAGTGATAGACCAGAAATTCCTGGATTCAAGGTTGAAATTCTGCCTTTGAGAGAGTTTTCAATTACCCAAGGAATCTCAGCGCATTTCGCGGAATCTGGGCTACTAAAATCGTTGCAAATTGGAGGAGTGACCACTTCAGTTAATCTGGAATTTGTTAAATACAGTACTACCAAAAGTGGCGCTTATCTATTTGCTCCAAGCAAACCAAATCCTGATCCACTTTACACGACCGACAATCATGTCATTCATTTGGTCACCGGGCCAATTTTGTCACGAGTGTTTGTACAGCTACCAGAGGTCAATCACACTTGTACGTTATTCAATTCAAACGGAAGCGACGATTTGGGACTGCGGATTGATAACCAAGTTGATGTTTTTGATACTTATAATTTTGAGTTAGTCATGCGGTTAAAGACTAATAATTTTTCTAGAGATGAATTTTTCACGGATTTAAATGGGCTTAATGTAAGTATGAATTGTTCAATATTTTTTTGAGAATATTAAAGTTAATTATTAGAGACAAAGTTATGATTTGATTTTTTTTAAGCAATCAAATATCAATATCATTGAATATTGTTTGTGGTAATGTCTCAAGTAATGTTTTTACTAATCAAATTTTTTAAAATGATAATCACTGATATTCACTAATTAATTTTAAATAATTAAATAGATTATCCGGAGACACCAATTATTGGCAGGTTAAAAAACTGATTGATCTAATTATTGACATACCTTAGCCCCAATTATTGACACCTATACTGCCTATGCCTAGAATCATCTGCTTATTCTTATTTATCGAAACTTATTATTAAGTAATCAATTTTATTAAAGTTTATTAATAATAATTTCCATAAATGATTAATTACTTTTAAAAATATAAAAATTAATTTAAAAATAATTTATTTAATCAGAAGAGTTCAAACTCTTACAGTTAATTTTTTAGATTAAAGTCAAAAAAAGGCGTCTTAGCGCTGTCGAATGGCTGTCAATATGAGATTCAACTTAAAAATTATCAACTAGTTATTGACACCCATTATTTAAATATTATAAAGGAAACAATTAATTTCGATTATTCAATTTTATAAATTTTTCATATATTGTTAATTAAAAAAAAAAAAAGATCATATTATTAGACGAAGAAATTAATTTAAACAGCATTTAAAAAAATGCTTTTCTAATCAAAGTTGTTAAGAAAATAAACGTTGGTGGTTTGATCTGGTGCTTTTATTTTTTAATAATTAATATTTAATATTTTGAGCTGAGTAATTTTTTAATTAATTAGAAATAAAAATTTATGATAGTTATTCTTATTACCGATAAATATATTTAAAAATAATTTAGGGTGTCAATATTTAGACTGTCAATAATTGGTGCTACTACACCTTTTTAAATGAATTATTTCCTTTAAAAATTAATGAAAAAAAATTTTTTTTTTTCAATATTAATAATTTAATTTTTTATTCTAGATAATTAAACGCTAAAAATTTGCAAAATTACCCACGCAAGCAAATTATTATCCACTACCTGCGATTGGTTACATACAAGATGAAAATACAAGATTAACAGTAGTTACAGGGCAACCATTAGGCGCCGCATCAATGGCGCCTGGCCAATTTGAAGTATTAATTAATTCCCCAAAAAATTCCATAAATATCTCAGCAAATTTTTTTCTAATTTAAAATTCTTCACTATTTTTTCAGATAATGCAAGACCGCAAATTGAATCAAGATTATTGGCGAGGACTCGGACAAGGAGTCAAGGATAATTTAAAAACAAACCATGTTTTTATGATTGTTTTAGAAAAAAAAGAAAAGTCTTGTTTTAGTTCTTCAGCAGATCATCTTGTGGGAATGCTCTAAATTGGAGGATTGTTAGCTTCGGAAGAAATTTTACATCCTTTAGTTGTTATGCACCAACATTCAATACCTAATGTAGATTATGGTTACAGAAGAAGTCAATTTTCTCCATTAAATTTTGACCTTCCGGTAGATCTAGAGGTTTCTAATTTACGCGTAATTCAAATTTTTGAAGGATCTGGTAAAAATTTGGGCGCAGTGTTTCATCGACATGCTATTGATACTTGTTGGAACAATCAATCAATTGGACAATATAAGTTATCAAGCAATGGGGAAATTAATGTCGATAAATTATTCCGTTTTTATAAAAACTGGACTATTAATGAAGCTTCATTAACTTTTAACAGCGTTGGAGCTTTACTTTCTGAGCCAAAAATTAATTTATGTCCGCATCAAATTTCAGCATTTTTATTAAACAAACCCTAGGATGTAAATTGATATTTTTTATATGTAAAATAAAAATTGTTAAGTTTGTAAAATTGTGTTATTTTTCTTCTCAAGTGGTGATTTTTTTATACAGAACTTTTATGCTGAGAAAATTCTGTTTATAGTTCCCACCGTCTAAATCTTTTTTCTCTTAAGCTCCATTTGGACGCTAATAGCCCTAACTTGAAGTCTGGAGAGTCCAAATAGGTTCGTACTCAATGAAAAATATACAAACTAAACCCCGCTTTTATTCGACAGGAACTACTTACGTTTGTTTTCCGACTAGGCTCAAGAGGGTAGAGAAAAATACCGTACAACTTTTTAAGATTCAGAATAAAATTCAAATTACGGTTTATTAATATTGACTGATAAAATAATTTATGAAGACGATTCAATCGTTTATTTGTTGCTAGATTTAAAACTCTTTTCATAAAAGAATTAAGCTACTTAATAAGAATATCAGAAATAAGATACTTTATTTAGAATATAAGAAAAAATGACACTATATCTTGTTAACTATTGACATTTTTAAAGATATAAGCTCACCCCAATATTACACTCATCAAGACCTTTCATTTGAGTACCCACATCAATTTTTCATATATTTCATATATTTACATATTTCACAAATATTATATATATAAAATATATAAAAAATGTCATGTGAGTACTTAAATAAAAAGTCTCGATGAGTGCAACATCGAAATGAGTTTATATCTTAAATATATCAATAATTAGGAAATGACTTTGTATTTTGTTAATTATTGACATTTTTAAAGATATAAGCTCACCCCAATATTACACTCATCAAGACCTTTCATTTGAGTACCCACATCAATTTTTCATATATTTATATATATTACATATATGAATATATGAAAAATATATCAAAAATGCATGTGGGTACTTAAATAAAAGCTCTTGATGAGTGTAACATCAGGATGAGCTTATATCTTTAAGAACGTGAATATTTAAGAAAGTACAGTGCAATTTAACAAAAATCATTGTTTAATAAACCAAAATTTCATTTATTATTCCACAAGTTACGGCAGTCACGTAGTAACTGGAAAATTACTAGTTTTTATTAATTTTAAAACCTTACCTTAAAAGCTTTGTTATCCACATTTCTAGGACACTTCTTGATGAATGACAAAAATAGATGACGGGAGAGGTCATCTGGGGCGGCAACTTCAAGGTATGTGTCCAAAAATTTTCTAAACCCTTCATAGTCAATGTCCTGAAATTAAAGATTATTATTATTATTAGTTAAAAAAATTTTTTAAGTTAATAAGAATAATAAAAAAAATAAAAAATTATTGTTAAAAAATATTAAAGGAACATATCTAAAAAAAATCTCATGTCAACAATTTCGTTTCTAAGAATAGCTTGAAGGGGTGGCTTTAATTAACCCGCTTATAATCACAACACGCCTTTTTCTAACATAGTATAAAAATATAAACTAGCCAGCAAACGGTTCTCTGCTCCAAGCAAACGGTTTGCGGTATCTTAAGTGAAAAAATAAATCTTCCCGTCATATATAGAAGTAATAAACTATAAAGATAAAAAAATTTACCCGCAAAGTAGGAAAATACTTTATGTAGTAATTGCCTTGAATATGACAATTTTATAAACAAAATATTATTTCCTGATAAAGTTTGAGATACTCTTTGCATGTAAAGAAGGTTTTAGTTGTAAGTATGATTATGATCGGATCTAGCTAAATTTAAATCAAGATTTATCTACGTACATCTGGATGGATATTTCTTAAACTACTAATTCAATCTTCTGAAAATAAATAGTCTTGAAAAAGTATTCATCATTTACCACTTGACAACATATTTATTGAGATATTCTGTAATAAATAATATTTTTTTACCGTACCCCATCTGGATGGTATTTAGGTGTGTTACCCAGAGTTGTTGTTCCGCAAAATTCGGTAAGAACATCTTCTAATTTTCTGGATGAATCTGTAAAAATTATTGAAAATTTTTTTCTTTATTATGTATAGTTAAGAAATTACGTTGTATCTTGGGAATTATTGACATTTTTAATGATATAAGCTCATCTCGATGTTATACTCATTGAGACCTTTCATTCGAGTACCCACATCAATTTTTCATATATTTTATATATTTATATATATGTATATATGAAAGATATATAAAAAATTCATGTGGGTACTCAAATGAAAGCTCTTGATAAGTGTAACATCGGAACGAGCTTATATATTTAATAATGTCAATAATTAAGAAATGACCATGTATATTATGAACTATTGACATTTTTAAAGATATAAGCTCATCCTGACAATGCGCTCATCAAGACCTTTCATTTGAGTACCCACATCAATTTTTCATATATTTTATATATTTATATATATTATATATGAAAAATATATCAAAAATGCATGTGGGTACTCAAATAAAAGCTCTTGAAGAGTGTAACATCGGGAAGAGCTTATATCTTTAAAAATGTCAATATTTAAGAAAGTACAGTGCAATTTAACAAAATTCATTATTTAATAAAGCAAAATTTTATTTAACAAAGTCATTTTTTGATTAAAAAAATTTTTTTTAATATTAAGACCTTTTAAATTAATAGAAAAATTTATTTATATAAATTTTTAAATAGAATAATTTGAATAAAAAAAAAAAAAGTCAATTTTTTTACTTACATGCTGCTAGATCTTGAAGTTGCTGAAATTCTGCTGGTGATAATTTGTCCCACTGAAGGGACATCCTTATATTGAATAGTTTTGGACTCTGTTAACTATTATTGTACCAAATAAGTCACCTGTAACATAAAAAATTTATTTTACAAAAAATTACTTATTACAATTAGTTTTTTGAGTAATTCTAAATAAATTTAAATTTAAACTTCTCAATTTTTAAAAATTATTGACTTTTAGTGAAATATTTTTAATTACTTAACAAAATGATAGAAAAAAAATTTATATTTAAATTTTTTAACAACAAAATCTTAAAGATGGATCGAAAAAACCAATTCTTATATTTTTAACTTCAGAATAAGGAAGTCTAAAAATGGATATTCGATAATTATTTATGCAGAATATCGATAAGTTTTCCGATAGTATGTCACAAATTTTTTATTGTAGGTCATAATATTTATTAATTTTTTAGTAAGAAAACAAATTAATAAAAATGATTATAAATAATAAGTAATAAATTTAAATCAAATTTAATAAATTTGTAATCAATCTTTTTTAATAGTTTTTTAAAATAAAAACACTGATGCATTATTCTATTGTTAATTTAAATACAAATAATTTTTCTCAACATTTCTGTTAGTGTGAGTGAGGTTTATTTGTTCTATAAGTTTAACAAAAATAGTACTGCCGTCGATTGAACCGATAAAAGCAAAATAAAAAAGAAAATATAAACTGTTAATAAAACTTAGTACACTTATCTTGTAAGCGAATGTCTTGGTCAAGTTTTAAGAGCCAAATTGGTCGGTTTGTTTCAAAATTGTTGGAGTTTTAAAACTTTTCTGATTATCATAACAATTGCAATTTTCCGATACGAATCACTTTTTTAATCATTTATTTTTAAATTTTGGTCCTACGTACAATGTATTTATTTATAAAAAATAATAAACATTAAATATAAATTATTTTTTATTGAGACAATTTTAATTTTAAAAAGATATAAACAGAAAATAACTGCTTGTATTTTTTTTTTAATTTTAGACAAATAAAAATCAGCACATTAAGAGAGATTAATAGTTTTTTTCAATAATAATATTACACAGTAAAAAATATTGTGTAAAATCAACACAGTTTGTGTGTTAAAAATGGTTGACACAAAATATGTGTTGAAATTTCAATTGAAATTTTGTGTAACCCCTTTTTAACACAAAGATTATGTTGAAATATCGCCACAAGAGGGCGCAAAGAATCATACACTTCTAAAGTGTCAATCTTAACACAAAATAAATGTTAAATAAATTTATTTATTATTTTCATCAACTGTTTGATGCCTATAACATAACCTATAAAATAATTTTTTTTTAATTTCCTCAAATGCAGTAAATAATATTTATTTAAAAATGTTTGTTTTTATCATTTACATTTTAACGAAACATCAACAATTACCGACTATAAATAATTGGAAGGAAGAAAGTATGAAAAATTTTTAATAATTAAATCAAAAAATAATTTATAGGTTTTAAAAATGAAGCAGCAGAGTTATAAATTTATGAAAATGAAGTTAACCGACATTTTAAAACTTTTAGAAATTTTTTATTAAAAAAATTTCAATTTAACAATTAAAAAAAAAAATGTCACATCTAAAAAACTTTAAAAACTAGAAGTGCAATTTTTTAGAAATATCTTTTTAGTTGTAATTTATGTAATAAAAAAAATTAAAAATTTTTAGACGTCTACTAACTTAAGTGTCATATAAATTTAATTGTCTTTATTATTTAATATTTATTATATTTTCGTGAAAATATTTGCTGCGTAAAGTGAAGAATCGACGGGCTGTCAACACAAAGTTGATGTTATATTAATGACGAGTTTGACACAAAATTTGTGTTCATTGCCCAGTAACATACAAAATATATTAATAAAGAGTATATAACACATTTTTTATGTTACAAAAGAAAATGACACAAGCTTTGTGTTATTTTAACACAAACCGTTTTCGACACAAATACACAATATTTTTTACTGTGCAGCATTAATTTACCGTCACGTTTTTAATGCGTTAATCTTGACGGAAAAAGTTTTAAGAGTTTTTTTTATGCAGAAACATTATAAACACCGTAAAAAGTTTGATATTTTGTATTAAAATCGTTGACGTACTACCTCTTTTTTATTTATCACCAAGAATATAATTTAATTGAAAATTTATTTACTGTGTATATAATTTTTTCTTCTGTATAAAAATATTTTAAAATTACAGGGAAAAGTTGATGATTTCAATGCTCTATCGAGCTTTTTCTACCAGCAGTAAACAGATGGCAAGTGTCAGTATAAAAATTACCCTTAGATCTATTTATCTGCCTTTTTACCTATTTCGGTTAACCTCCGACCCACATAATACCCACAGATATATATCTATATAGATTTAGTGATGAAACAAACCCGTATCAAAAGTGGGATTGAGAGAAGTGGCTTGATGACAGACGTTAAGTTCTTGAAGGAAAACAAAGAAAAAGTTTCCTTAATGTCTTGATATTTTTAAACTGGAGTAAAAGTATTTTTTATAAGTATAAAAAATTATAAACAAATATTTAACTCTGTAAAAAAATTAATTAATTTAATTACTGATAAAAAGATAAATTTTATTTAAAAAAAAATTTTTTTCAAAAGAAAAAAATAATTTAGTCAAAAAATTTTTCATCCCAATTTTTTTTACTTAAAAAAAAATTTTTAAGAGAAAAAATAATTTTTCATGTCTATTTTTGTAAAGTTATTAAAATTTATTAAAAATAATTTTTATAAAATATTGCTATCTAAATTAATAAAATAAACTTTCGTCCTTTAGAGGATGTTTATTTCATATTTTTTAAGGCTGAAGAAAACTAATTTGAATATTTGAGTTTAAAAAAAAAATATAATACAAGAGGTTGGGCGATATGAATTTTAAAAATCTTAGCTATCATTGGATAAAAAAATATGTTAAATATATAGAGCAGAAGACAAACTACCTAGAAGTAAATGAAGCATAATGCCCTCAAAGGAACCGAAGCGAAGCTGGTGTTGTAAATCCGATAACCTCTCGAGTGAGGAGTGCATAAAAGAGCGCTACTAACGTATCGATTGCTTCAAGTGCAGTTTATCACGAAAAATTTAATATGTCTATATTATATGAATATAAATAAATACTGTCATCTTGATTACATTATAGTTATTTTCAAGCACTCAATAAATGAATTTTCGATAATTCGATAATTAAAACATCCTCAAATGAATTTTCATAGTTACGCGCTTCAAATAATATGCGTTATTTATTTTAATCCTATCAAAATTTATTATTATTATTATTATTATTATTATCTATATTATTAAGACAATAAGAAAAATTTTGTCTCTAGATACATAATTAAGAAATGACCTTGTAACTTATGAAATACTGACATTTTTAAAGATATAAGCTCATCCTGATGTTACAATCATCAAGACCTTTCATTTGAGTACCCACATCAATTTTTCATATATTTTATATATTTATATATACCATATATATGTATATATGAAATATATATCAAAAATAACATGTGGGTACTTAAATGAAAGGTCTCGATGAGTGTAACATCGAAATGAGTTTATATCTTACAAAATGTCAATAATTAAAAAATGACATTGTATCTTGTAAAATATTGACATTTTTAAAGATATAAACTCATCCCGATGTTACACTCATCAAGACCTTTCATTTGAGTACCCACATCAATTTTTCATATATTTTATATATTTATATATATTATATATATGTATATATGAAAAATATATCAAAAATACCATGTGGGTACTTAAATGAAAGCTCTCGATGAATGTAACATCCGGATGAGCTTATATCCTTAAAATATATATTATATATCTGTAAATATGAAAAATATATCAAAAATGCATGTGGGTACTCAAATGAAAGCTCTTGATGAGTATAAAATCAAGATGCGCTTATAACTTCAAAAATGTCAATAGTTAAAAAAGTACAGTGCAATTTAACAAAAGAGTATATTTTTTTCTAACAATGAATGAATTTTATTATTAAACTTTAAACAATCCAATTCAAATTTAAATCGGAAAAAAAAATTTCATTTGATTAGCAAACAAAACAAAAACTGTTGTAAAATAAAAAGCTCTAGCTCGTTATCGCAAAACCACTGGTTGCTATGGAAACTTAAGCCCAGTTAGTCGGGATCTAAAAAGAGGGTGAAGATACAGAAAAAGGGATGACATTCAAATAGATAGATGAGTATATAGGAAATCAACGAAATGCAAGGAGCAAAATTGAACAAAAAAATAATAAAATTTTTACCGGAAAACTACAAAAAATTTTTTATAGTAAGAATAATATCCTTCGATTGATATTGAAGCTTTTCTACCCGCAAAAAAAAATAGAAAAAGTACTTCACTTACAAACAGCTTAGAAGGAAGTATGACTATTACTTTCTTTACAGTACTTACTAGAAATATTGATTATGAATTGAATGCTATTGGTACTTGATTGTTAGTAATTGTTTTTTTGATGTACTATAATGTACAATATCAATTAAACTAATTGATTACTCAGCTCGATAGTAACTTCTTTTAATAAAGGTAATGTTATTCATTTTTTTCGGAAAAAAATATTTTTTCTGTAAAATTTTAATTTTGTTTCAAGATTAATTATTATTATTTATTTATTAAGGAAAATGTGTAATAATTATAACTGATAGAAAAATAATTAATGATTGTATTTAAAAGCAATTAAATTAATATAAAAAAATTATAATATTGCTAAAGAAATTTTGTAATATAATAATCAATTGTAGTAAAAAAATCTTCGAGAAGAATTTTACTAAAACGACGTACTTTACTGTTTGCAAACAAGATAAACCTAAACTTCGTTCAAGAATTTCTTTTTGGAGGGAAAAAATACGCGGTAACTTGTTTTAAAAATTTTAAGACTAAAAATAGTCGATTTTTGGTAATTTCTATGTCGAAAAAAGTCTCAATTACATTTCAACATAAGTTGGGGTTAATTTAAATGAAGAAACTTGTTTTTTAATTCAAATATGAAGTTCATAGAAGATAATAAAGTTAGTTTCGGAAAATTGTTCTCGGGTGAAGAATTTAATTGTGTCAATCAAAGGTAACATGCTCTTGAATTGAATCAAGTGACCCCAATAATTTAATGTCTTGATTTGAATATGTGCCTTTTCAAGGTTTCATATCATTCTCACCGATAGTCAATTTATTATGGTAAGTATTTAGGCGGCATTAGAAAATATTTCTAGATACATAATTAAGAAATGGACTTGTATCTTGTGAACTATTGACATTTTTAAAGATATAAGCTCATCTCGGTGTTACACTCATCAAGACCTTTCATTTGAGTACCCACATCAATTTTTCATATATTTATATATATCATATATATATGTATATATGAAAAATATATGAAAATACATGTTGGTAGTTAAATGAAAGCTCTTGATGAGTGTAACATCGGGGTGAGCTTATATTTTTAAAAATGCCAATATGTAAGAAAGTACAGTGTAATTTAACAAAAGTCATTATTTAGTAAAG